AATCAGGGCGAATACAGTCCCGGCTGGTTTGGACCCAAGGACTGAAATGGGTTCCATCGTGGGCTGTAATTCGAATATCCTTTTGATTGAGCTGTTATGGTGCCCAAATGGCTTCAGGTGAGGCTAAATTAGACTTTGACCTTTAGGGCTCAACTGGCATTTTGGGGCTGAAACAGATCATTTTAAATTTTCAGTGAAGTAACGTGTGCTTATGTTTTTCTTTAGGAATAGAGAAGTGTGGCGTAGCACCCAATACGAAGCCAGTTTACTTTCACGATGATTGTCCAGATGATTATCCTATCAGTGGTGATAAGTGTATCTATGGTACTGTAAGAACCCACATCTGCTGCTGCAAAAGGTATAGTGAGCAATTATTATAACTTTACATCTTCAGGTAGTATTCTACTTTCTCCAAATCAGTTGCTCGATTGAAGACTACGACAGCTTATAGAGATTTCATGGCAGAAGCGCCCTGGACTCTCTTCGTGTAACTACTAATGTCAACAGTCTTAAGGCGCATTTTAAGTAGACTTAAAATGCGCTGCATATCTGTGATGGGTTTTATTTACTCACTTTCATTCATTATACCTATTTATACTTTGTGAAAGGTTTGAACCCAGAAGTCATTTCATGAGTAGGTCCGAAGTAGGTAGAGTTTGATCGTCCGGGTTAACGTAGACTGACATTGACTGACGTTTCGACAACCTGTGCGGTAGTCATCTTCAGGGAGAAAATGAGAAGTCAGTTGATGGTATTATACTCTGGTTATTGACCTGGTCAATTACGTCGCGATGTTATCAGTCCGCTGTCATTTAAGCCGTGATGTTATTGGCTATGAAGACTCGTAATGTAATTGGTGCGTTTCGATCCGTCTATTGTTACAGTTTAACAGTAGTCTATTGTGCTAGTCAACTGATTGTCAGTTCTCCAGTCTTTCTCTCGTAGTTAGTTTTGCTTGATTTCATCAATAAGTCGTTTGTACGGTGCCCGTAACTGTTAACTACGATTCAGTGGCGTTTGTTTTAAGTTAGTAAACCAGCTTTCTAAAGTTGATAGTAGTCTGTAGGATACGTAATACATGTCGCAGAGTCCTAGTCGATTTGATGTTTCGTCTGTAAATAGTGTTCAGCAATGTGCTTGTTGACGTTGCTATTTCTCGTCGCTCATTTGTGTTCGGTCAATCGCGTGCTAAGGTTTCTGCTGGTTTCACCAATGGAAGTAGCCTGCCAGTCGCAAACTTGATCTTGTATACTGCTCCCTGCCTGTCCTTGTTTGTCTTTGTTCTTGACATTAGTAAGTAGTCGCTGTAAAGTGGTTATTGGTTTGTGTAGGAAACACGAATATTCTAAGGTTGTAGCGTACGTGCAATAGTTTCAGAGGTGCCTCTGATGTACGGTATAGTCGCTGTCGTAACAAGGCCAGAGTTGACGTTGGTCTGAGTGTTGGAATTAGAGTTACTGTGAGTGTTCTGTCTAACAATGAAGTCCGTGCTCTAGTTGTTTTTACTAAAAACGTTGTTTAGGAAGTCACTCTCGTCTTGTAGGCTGTCAGGTGAGTCGCAAACTAGTTGCACTCGTCTCGTCAAAGTCCGTACGGTTGTAGTCTTGTGAGAGGTCGGGTTGTAGGATGACTGGTCTAGTAATCGGTCGGTATGTGTCGGTTTTCTGTAAATAGTCGTTCGTAGTCTGTCGTAGTCGCCAGTGACCAAGCAGTCTAGAAAAGGTATCTTACCATTTTTTCCGATCTCCTTGGTGAACGAACTGTGCTCAAATATGAGCAGAAATTAGACACAACTTACATTTTCGCTTCCCTTTCACTCAAAGCAGGTGAATTTAAAACTTTTTTTTAAGAAAAGAAGAGATTCTAGAATTACCGAGACGGCAAAATGCGAGCAAAATTTTCTCCGTAGTCGCGACTACGCGAAACAGCTCAACAATTCACCGTAGCCGCAAGACTACGCAGGAAAAATGAACAGTCATGTGATTCTGATCATGTGCGGAAGCATGTTTAATTAACCGTAGTCCTAGTCGGTAGTTACCCTATCTTAAAGTCCCTAAGGGACGGACCATTAGAAAAGTGATTGGGGGGAGGGGTGTGGGGAAAAAACCAAAAAAAAATTCATGCAAGGGAAAATGCCAAGAAAAAAATTCATGCAAAGGAGAAGGTAAAGAAAAAAAATTCATGCAGAAGGAAGGTCCAATTGTGACTTTTTCAGAAAGTCTGAGTTTCTTTCAGAACGTCTGAGGTTCAGAAATCAACAATATTACCAGGCACAATATGAAAAAACAAAAATCACTTTCTTCTTATGAAAGGAGACAATTAGAACCTTGTTTTTGTTTTGAATTGCAGCTAGTGTACCTACAACATACACTGTATACTGTATTATAATAAAAATAATAAAAGAAAATTTGTAATAAATAAATATTAGAATTTGGTAGCTTTGTAAATATTCTATAAAATTATTTGTGCCCGCAAAAAGATACACCCACGCTATTGGTCACTTTTGCACTTTTGATGGGCTGTAGGAGAGGAATTCCAGAAGGCAGGGACTGAAAAAATGCACAGGGAAGTCGTCCACTCCAAGTGGCTTCCTCCTCTCTCAGTGTGTGTACATTTTCGAAAAGATTTTGCATTAAAGTGGCCTGTATCCTTTGATCTGTTGTGAGTGTAGAATAATTTATTAAGCACAAAAACATAGATAATGAATCAAGATTTCACTGTTCAAAAAAAAGCAATATTTGACAAAAAAAAAATTCGTGCAGAGGGGTTCACCTGAAAAAAAAATTCCTGCACAAGCAGTGAGCGAAAAAAAAATTCGTGCAAGCTGAAAATCCCCCATCACTTTTCTAATGGTCCGTCCCTAATTGCCCAAAGACCAGACCCTTAGAACCGCACGTGGTCAGTAATCTTAAAAATCTGTTTCCTAACGCCCTTAAAGATTGCCCCACCAACATTCTAATAAGAGATCAGACACTGCGATCGTCAAATCAAATTCGGAAGTTTGATTCATGATGGCCATGGTTTCGGTTGGTAGGCGGGCGAAGTTGATGACCAAATTCGTGACTCGTGAAAATTGGTTTATAAAGACCGCGCACGTGAAATTTGTCAACATTTGCACGTGAAACGGGACCATGGGCCCGTTTCTCGAAAGCCCTGGTAACTTTTCGGGCCCAAAATGAAATATTCAAATCCAAATCTGAAAGGATAAGAGCGCGGGCTCTAAATAGCAACCTGTCCATTTTGTTTTGTTAGCTGATGGTTTTATGATGTTGTCTAAAACAATATCAAAACCTCTATCTTGAAGGTAAACAACAACAGTTTTTCGTGCCCGTTAATTATCGGGAGTTTCGAGAAAAGGGCCCCCATGATCCCTTTGCTACCCTCAAAAATGAGCTGGCTTCATGTTTTTAACTACAATATAGTTTGGGTACAACATAACAAAGAAATGACAGTCTCCCACGAAGTCAAATGTTTAGTTAGATCATAGACAAAAGAAATGTCATACAATGAAACGTGAATTTTTTCTTCGTTTCTTCTTTAGGGAGGCTACGGAAGAAGAAGGTAAGTCAAAGTTGCTCTACAGTAGATCAATATAGATCATTCGTCCGACTCACAATCCAGCTAACCCGGTTTCGATTAAATTCCTCATCTGCTGTAGTAACTGAAGTTATCGTCGGCCACGCTTGTAAATAGTCAACTGGTTGCCTCCTATAGTTTGGGTTTTTAACTATGTTATGCTATATTTAAATTTAATGACTGTTTCGGCTATTTCTAAATACTTTCAAACCTCAACCGCCCGTAACCTCCTTTGTTAAGACTGTGAGTTGTACCACTTGGGACGGACGTCATCAGTTATTTTTTTAGCTTTCTGGTATACGAAATCTCCTTCTTCCAAATTATATTGTACAGTCTTGGTCTTGTATGCTGGTGGACCGCTGATTTTGAGCGAGTCCCCGATATAGTCCTCTATGACTGGCGTAGTTATAATTTAATTTCAACTACTCCAGTAGCTCAGTGGCTAGAGCATCCGAACTAGAAATCGGACGGTCGTGAGATCTATTCTGACCAGGAGCTCAGAATTTTTTCTCTGCCAGTTCTTGTATAAGAATTCTCCTTCTTCCAGATTATACACAAGTTGGTCAAAATATTAATAGACTAGAGATACCCCAAACCTTGATTGATAACCTTGTGCATGGGACTTCCCTCCTTTCACCTCCTGGATAGGGGCCAGGGGACAGTACACCCCACCTTATTTTTAGGCCAAACTGAGGCTTGCATAGTCAAGAGAGCTTCTTAGCGAGAGGGGTGGGGTAAGGGAATGGAGTGAAGAGACAGGCAAGTAAAGGTTAAAGTGAGGGAGAATTCTCATTTTTTGTCTAGAAACAGAATATTTTACATAATGTGTGCCTATCCGACGTTCCAAATCTGTAATTAAGCCTTAGGAACAAAAACCAACATTCTGCTCGCTTGTAACTAACATTTAGAGTAGTTTTGGTTGTGACCGTTTTTTCGGATAAAGAGCAACAACAACAAAAAGGTATTCAGTGATAAAGACAATATGAACAAAGCTGGTTACTGCCATCCATAACTTAGCTTCCTTAATAAACTCTCGTTCTTGCATAAAACCAGGATTTAATTGTACTCATGCGTCTCATCCTCCTCAGCTTTATAGTTGCTTTTACTTTCTTTTCTTAGTTGCAAAAAGCAGCGATAAATGTTTTAAAAATTCCTGCTACACATTTACGGAAAAGGGATATGGAACATGGAAGGAGAATCGAAACTCCTGTAAAAGCAGCAGGGGCGATTTGGTCTCCATAGAAACTGAAGAAGAGTGGCGGTTTATCAATAAAGAAATTCAAAACCGCAACATCGCAGAGCCCCAAGAATGGCATGTTGGTTTGAAAAAGGAGCAGAGAGACTGGAAATGGGTAAGCGGGCAACCACTGACAATCAAGAAATGGCAAAAGGGCCAGCCAAGTGGCGACGGTGATGTCGTGGTAATGGCTAAAGATTACCCTGCGGATACACAAGGCCTGTTAAATGATCTCAGAGATGACATTACAAAAGCTTTTATTTGTGAAATACCTAAAGGTAAGACGAGAAAGTTAAAATTGCTTGCTTACAAGGACCAAATACGACAGGAGAATGATACATGAACGTCAGATATGAGAGGTCAGAGGCCCTGAGTTTGATTCGTCGACATGAGGGTTGCACAAGTAGTATTAAGAACCATATTGTTGCCAGAATTCTCCAGGTTCGTTTGGCAGGTCCCACACTAATGTGGTGAGCGGAACAAGTACCGATGAGATTTCCTAACACAGAAAGCTGAAAAAGGAGAAAACTAAGCAGAACATCTGCTCTGTTAACGAAGGAGGCAATACAAGATGCTCAACCTGAAACGAAACTAAACTATATCAGAGGCTCTTTCAGACCCAAACACATTCAAGTAACCGCCGTGGACCTATGGCTTATCCTAAGATCCACACGGTCAACTCATGCTACTTGCATATTGTGTCCTGTGGCAACACTTTTGCCTATATTTTTGGTCTGCTTTCTTAGCTAACAAATAATCTCCACTAACAGGTAACACAGATTTCATGGTAAAAAAAAAATCAGTTCGCTTTGCTGGTATCTAGCATAAAGTGTCAGAAGATGTACTTCAAGTAGTCGAGAAGTGTTAGACACACCTGTCTGAACGCACGACTTGGACGCGGACCTCTCGGCAATATAGCCGCCTGACACTCAAAAGAAACGTATGGTTTTTCTGGTTGCTTTTCACTAGCAAATGTTCCTGACCCGCTTTCTATCGATGTTTAGTTTCGAAGCATGGCTCATAGAAAGGCTCTATATATCCGACGCTAAAATGCAGTTTTTGCATCCAAACCAGATTTTGCGACGCCGAAGAAGACACCTTAATCTGGATATCCCAATTGCCGCGATCGCCAAAGGAAATCAACTCGCAAACCTTGCAAACCTAAGATCTGGAAGCCCAATGTGGGGGTTGTACTGTCGCAATTTGTAATAATCATCGCACTTTGTAATACCTGTCGCAATTTGTAATAAATCCATCTCACTTTGTAATACCTGTCGCAATTTGTAATAAACCGTGTCGCACTTTGTAATAAAAAAGCTGTCGCAATTTGTAATAACAGTCCATCGCACTTTGTAATAAACTAAGCTGTCGCAATTTGTAATAATTCCATCGCACTTTGTACTAATTTTTTGAGAGTGATTCAACTTACCTCGTCAACATTAATATAATGCCAAAATATGCTACTTCATAAACAAAGATGGTGACGTCTGCTAGCACGTAACATCTCCGTAACATTTTCTTTGGTCAAACATGCATGTCTACCGCTATAAATTTTTCTGCCTTGATTAATCACGTGACCAACTAGAAAAGCTTTTATGAAAGACATGAAACTTCCTGTGACATATCACCAAAAAGATATGAATCATGTTTAAATTTAAGAACATTTAAATAACAAAAGCAACATTTAACAACAGAAAATTCATGAATAACCTGGCATTCGTCGTCCAAATCCATGTTTGCTTGCCACGTGACACGTGAAGTCTTGGGGAAATCCCATAGATGGATGGGCTAGATAGGTAAGTACCGTCTGATAGGGTATGGTTTTTGAGGATCTCGAGCCTTTAATAGGGTATCATTTTTTACGTTGTTGGCCTTGTGTCTTTAGTTTGATCCTTAGATAGGGTAACTCAAGTAGTAATGGATGGTTTATTCCATCCTTTCCATTTTGTGGAAAAACAGTAATCCAGAACACACTCGAAAGAGTTGTATATACGCAGGGAAGGATAATTTTTTACTATCCCGGCCCCATGATATTTGCTTTAGAGGACTCCTTATAGAAAACAATTGTTTTAAGATGGAATGAGTACTCCTTTTGATCCTATATGGGTTCAAATCAAGTGAGAATAATGGGCCAAATGCCCAGCCGGCTCAGTGTAAGACCCCAAGTGAGTGTTATAAAAACAGGTACATACGAAGGTATTGGCCAGCGACTAATTGGATTTTGTTTTTAGGTTTCTGTTGTGGTTCGACGGTTTGCCACTGATGACGTTTTTTTTTATTTGCAGTAAACATTTTGAATCTTTCCAGGCCTCGTTTGATTAAGTTGGCCAAAATATGGAAGCCACTATTACTTCTTTAAGATTGCGCGTTAGACACTCAGGACGGTGCACAACGTGTTGTATCGACCTGTTATAAGATCTAACAAGGAAAGCTTGAACTCTCGTGGTGTCCTTATTCGAATGATGTAGGATGGATGTTACGATTTGCGGAAATTAAATGCTTTTTTAATAATGGTTCGTTTGTGTCTAGTGTGTCTAGCTCTGTCTAGATCCTGTACTCTGACAATGCTCTGTCTAGAGGCACATCCCCGTATTGGCCATATAAGGAAGTACACCCGCCGGGTAACCACTGAATGAAAACCACCTAGTACAATAGCAAGGTTTAAGAGTACCGCATTTCGTAAGTCAGATAACTAATCAACATTAATCTGAAAAAAATGTTTAGGACTGTGAATAAAGTTAAATGTTTGAATGAGCGGAGGTGTTACGTGCCAGCAGACGTCATCATCTTTGTTTATGAAGTACCATGCATATTTTGGCATTATATTAATGTTGACGAAGTAAGTTCAATTACTCTCAAAAAGTTATTACAAAGTGCGATGGAATTATTACAAATTGCGACAGCTTAGTTTATTACGAAGTGCGATCGACGGTTGTTACAAATTGCGACAGCTTTTTTATTACAAAGTGCGACACGGTATATTACAAATAGCGACAGGTATTACAAAGTGCGATGGATTTATTACAAATTGCGACAGGTATTACAAAGTGCGATGATTATTACAAATTGCGACAGTACAGGGGTGGAGGGGAATTTCTTCTCCGTCTTGGACCAAGACAGTGCTTACATCTTCTTACAACACGTCAACAATCAGCAACCATCCATCCGTTTCACTACTGAGACTGAGAATTACAGCAAGATCAGCCCCGATTTGCAAGAGGGCCATGCAGACGGCCGCCTTATACAACAAGCGTCTACAGGACACTAACACACACCTTTTACCATTTAGCGGAATTCACACCATCTTCAAACAGTAAAGCCTAATACTATGAAGTGTTTTTATACGACAGAGGCTAGCGTCTCGTAACCAAACCTTTCAGTAAATTCAAAAGAGAAGAAACATCTCTGATCAGTGCTTGTTTCAAATGGATATCCCTCTTCTTTTATGCGGAAAATCAATACAAGAACAATCCTTAGCTGACAGCCCTTGGCAGGGTTCAATTCGACCGCTGTTTTATCCGTTGTCCAGGGAGCGTCCAAGGTTATATATTGGCCGTAAATGCTACTGATCACAGCCGCCTACTGTGTTACGAAAGAAACTGGGTAATCACTGAACCTTATACTTGGAGTAAGCAATCAAAACTTCGCGATCTACAATCTCAAGTGACTACATCTTGAGACTACCACAATGAATAAACTCAACACGTTTCTAGACAAGTTCCAACCAGATTTAGCGAACGATTTAGTGTGGGAAAAGGTGCCACCAATGAGCGTTCTTAGCAGTGACATGCAACCCGAAAAAAACTCTTTTACTTTGATTATGGGTCATCTGTCTTGAAAAGTTTTATCTGCAATTATTGGTTGAGGGTGAGAGTGATATGAAGAACTACGCAGGTTGAAGAGGGCCTTATAAAACCTTATAAGATATGGAACATTATATTTACTAATGAGACGACAGTCATAAAAAGACAGCAATCCTCAGCTATCCCTTATCAACTTAACGAGGTTTATCTTGCAACATAAATACTCCCCTCTGAGGTCACATATAAACGGGAAGATTCTTGAAACAAAACTCGATGAAAAAAAACATGGACTATGAGCAAGGCAGGCCGGCAAATTAATCGGTTGTGTTGTATCCACATGCATGCGGCCGCATGTTACAAATCAATTGGACTCCCTTGTGCATGAACTTTTTTTGTTAAAACCTGGTGCAAAATATAGTGTGACTAGGTCTGTAACAAATGGCTTGGGTATTATTTTAATAGGCTTGACTCACAAAGTCTTTATACTACTTGGAAACCCTTTCTTTTGCTGTTTCACAATGGGACATTACTTCTCAGTTTTTTTACCATTATTAGTATTCATTAATTGTCTTCGTTAGTTTCTTGTCGTGATTTCCATGCCTTAGGCTAACGGAGTTCTTTTCTTCTGTCTTTCAGGTTCCGGAGAGAACGAAGGTATGTAGGACATCCTATATATCTACATCTATAACAATAAATTCCAAGATCCCTAGGGGGGCAGCGGGTTTGAGGGTTTGTAAAAAAAAAAAGAACGCATTTGCAACAAGTCGAATCATTATCTAAAATATTTGGTGGAATTAAGAGAGTTCCAATCGTTAATTGTCCTTGGCCAGAAACTGAATCATGGCAAACACCACTTTGGACAGGGATGGACTAAGCTCTTTTTAGACTGCGAGCAGTCTCTTATTTTTCTTGGCAAAGTTACTGCACGCGAAACCCAAGCATGCGAGCGGCGAAGCAACGTCGTGGTTTGCAATGGCGCTGGCTGAGATAAGACTAGAAGGATTTTAAGAGAAAAGGCGGCCTGCAAGCAGTCAAAGCTCTTTTGTGTTTTGTTTTGCCCTAGCTTATTTGCGTTATGTTTTTTTTTTCCTATACCCCTTAAGTTTTCTTCATGAATAGAAAGCGATGCATTGTTTTTGCTTCCGTTGCGTGAGGGGTGTACTGTATTATCTCAAGTAGATTAAGGCCTGGGTCTGAGTCATTTATGGTTTTTATGTACATTTTCCAAAAACTACCGTTAAAAACATCCACGAGGAATGATAAATGGTAAAGTAAACTAAAGTTAAAAAAAAATTAAAAAAGAAATCCAAATTATTTGTCCACCTGTTCGACCACGCCCTCTATTCCTCAAAAATTGTAACCAACGATTCGAACCACTCGCCAAACGAGTAGCTCTAGTTTCTCTGTATCAAAACATTGACCCTACAAAGTGTCTACGAAATCAGCTCGGAATGCGTCGAAATGTTACAATTGGCAGGTGCAATTGGCGTCCATTGATTAGTGCCAGTCCTCCTCTAAATAAAATATTCGTCAGGAGAAAGACGTTTACTGACCTCGTGTCATTCCGACCGTTTTTACAAGTGGACTGTTAGGAGCCACTTTTTAGACCTACGAAAGGAAAACGGTTCCTCTCTATTTGATGGGAATATCGACCCAAAGGATTTCTCGATAAAACAGGGTGTGGCTGATTACAAACAATTTTTAAGATGAAATTATAAGATTTCTTGGTTATGATTAGCCTCAAATTATTAGTCGTGGGGTGTCTTGAAAATACTTTACATTACATCCCCTCACCCCCCCTTTAAAAATTCGGAGAAATCTGTAAAGACCCAGGCTTTAATCTACTTGAGTTGTCAGAGGTTTTGTAAAATCCACTTATTGGAAGATTAAATCAAGCAATATTTTAGTTCGCTGCTTACGTTAAAAGTAAGTTTGCTTTTTTATATTTTCTAAAACAGCAAAGTCTTGTGGCAAGGAGCCTGGTACAGAACAAGCGTCAAAAAACATGGCTTGTCCGCACGCGTTTCCATACCCGTGCAACTTTCCTAGCGATAAAGGAGCTCAATGTTGCTGCACAAAGTAATCAGCATTTTAATAATTATATTTGATGTATGACCTGGTATATAGCTAACACATTCTCCTGAGTCCGTTGGCAGGTCCCTTCTGATCATCATACTGGTTATATCAAGGCTCCACTGTAAATCACTGCACGAAAAAATAGATTTACATCCAATTTATCCGGAGCAAATATGATGCCAAAAATTTCAAACTAGGGGGATAGTAAATACCGTATTTGTTCTCGAATTTACAACCCAATGTAATTTAGGTGGCAAAATTCACGAGGTACTTACCATCTTAGCCTCTCACGCAGGCGTTTTTAGGGGAGCTCGGTTTCCTTCCCTCCCCACAAGGAAGAGGGAAGAAATACGAGCTCCTTTAAAAACGCCTGCGTGGGAGGCTATTACCATCTTTGCCCCTGGTCTCTTCTTTGTAGTATAGGCACTTTTTGTATTTTTGCGCCATATTTGCTCCGGGCACATGCATTTGATGTTAACAGACCTTTCCACGGTTTTTTCAACTTTTGACATGGACAATTTAGAGCAAATCCATCCACTCTGCTGGAAAGAGCGGCTTTAAATTAGTAAAAATGCCCAGTTTGAAAGTGATTAGTTGAAAATTAACGATAATATAGCTCCTGAAAGTTGCGACATTTTAGAGACGTTTGTAAATTTTTTCCAACTTCGCTCACTTATATAAGGATATATAAGGGACGTGTACACATGCTGAAGTGTTGAAAATGGAGTAACGTAAACTGTCAGCTAAGCGTAGCAATGATTCCGATATTTTTACTCAGTCTACTCTGCTCAGTCAGCTCAGTCTGTACGCTAGAAGTTAAAATTAAAAAGTTAAAATTATTAAAATACTAATAAAATAATTTTCATTGAAGGTTTGAAGTGAAATAGAACTTATTTCTTTCTTTTGCTTGTTTTCAGGAAAAAGAGTCTAGAGGGTAAGAACTGTGAGTTGTTTAAGTCTGGCTCAGATCACTCTTTGAGCCGTTTTTTTTTTTTTTTTTTTGAGTAGAAAGTGATCCATTATTTGCATGAGGAAGCTAGGGGTACCATTTTCTACGAGAGGTATATATACCAAAGGGGTACATTTTAATTAAACTGGTATACCCTAAAAGGGTAAGGGCTCCAACCTCGGGACTTTTAAAAGTCTCCTTGCAAAGACTTTGTTGATTACTGTCCATTTGCTCTCCCCTTCTGAAGCCACATCGTAAAAGAAGACATCTGCTTTAAAATGTACCATTTAAGGAACGGTACATTTAAAAACACGGTTGTTTGAAATAAAAATTGAGGCCCGTCAGAGGTTTCGTAACTGAAATCCATTAATTTGTAGGTTTAACGTAAGTTTGCATTTTTACGTTAAAACAGCAAAGGTTTGTGGTAAGGTACCTGGTACGACGAAATGGACAAAAGAGATGCGATGTCCTCACACGTTTCCATACACCTGCAACTTTCGTAATGATGATGGGGGTAGATGTTGCTGCACAAGGTAATCAGCATCTTACTTATTTGAATATTTTTCAGCTGTGTGAGCTGGCAAAACTGAAGAATTATGCTCAGATTTAGCTTCATTGCAACTTGAGCCCTCTGCTATTCGGACACTGGGCGTTCTTGCATAAAGCTGCAGTATATTTTTCATTCCAAGTTTATAGTATGTTATGGAACCAAGCCTTGTCTGCAGATCATTAATTTTTGAAGATCACTCACATTTGAATTGCGAGCAATGTCGACTAAAGATTTTTGATGCATTTCACTGTAAAAATGAAAGAAGACGCATCTTTAGCGTTCTAAGCACTTATGTCACGATGGAGACAAATCATTTGTAGCATTGCATTATAAAGGAAAAAGTTTTACTCGAAACGTCACATCAAATGATATACACTTATTACACTGTTGTTGCGAGGTCATTTTCAAAGGGATGTCTCTTTCACGTGGGTCCAAACTTTCAAGGCGGGCGGTCTTCACATCTTCAGGGTTCCATGGGAGCTAAAAATTTCACATTACTTTTGGAGGGCCGTTACTTTCGGATTCCTCGCCACAAAACCAAAAGTTAGATGATTTTTTATTCCAATGATTAATTAAATTTCAAAGTTACTGTAAAGTTAAATGAAACATATTTCTTCGTTTTTGCTTAGGGAGGCGAAGCAAGGGTAATGCCTTGGAGGTACAACTTACGATTCCATCGTCTGAAGCCAACTGAAGTGAAAAGAATGTTAAGAGACTCGATTAGTTGCTTAGGACTAACCTAAGCCGTGATTTAGAGGTTTAGAATGTACGAGAAGTAGTGTAAAAGGTTAATAATACAAGTCATAGTGTAAAAATAATAAAAAAGTGCAATCGAAATAAAATTCTGTTGGCGTACACCTCAAAATCCGTACAATCCAGAAAATCCCTGCCGTGCGGTCAAATCATCTAATAGCTTACAGTGTTCGAGCTACTTCCGCTGAGCTATTCCTAGTTACCCCCAGAACGGAGAGTACCCAGCCAAGAATGCAAAGCCTTTTTCTATTTTACTTTACAATGACATTCATCAACCGAAGGAAAGTGAACAAAAGTCTCCATGACTTTTTTATATATGAACATGTAAAAGCTAACGAAGATAACGAAATAGTGTTTTATGCGAGTTCATGACAAAAAGAGTTGAAGCATGGGTAATAGAAAGACTTTTAGACACTTTATGCAAATTTAGGGCGTACTTTAACTGTATTTTAACTGGCATTAATTTATTTCAGTTCCTTGGTAATGGCGTTATGAGGTCGCCGAAACGTCGGAACATTATTTCGATTTCGTCACGTGTCATGTAATGAAAATGTTTCCCGCCAAACGTCTCTGAGCTGGCAGCAATGTTATGTAGTATGCGCGAATGTATAAGTAAATGTTTACCTAGTCCCTCTTCCTCACAATTCCGCGCGGCCAATGCGTTTCGAGTCACGTGGTCCAAGCGAAGATAGTACGCCTCGGATACGTCAAAGAAGTGAATTGACCGGAAAGGCCGATAAACAACGTACAGGGACTATGCAAAGTAAATGCGAGTGTTATCAGCCTCGGCCTCGGATAATAACACTCACTCCGGTGACCTCGATTATTCGGGATATCACAAAAACATTATCTAATAATTGTTTATTATCATTATCATTAACGTTATTAGTATTATTATTATTATTATTAATATTATCATTGTTATTACTATAATCTTTTACAATGAAAAGGCAACCTCGAGATTTCTATCCGAGTCACATATCAAAGCCGATAGAAATAGAGGGAACGTTTTCCAACTGTTTTAGTGAAATCATCGGTGCAGTGTTACCTGTTGGGTAAGAAAAATAAGCCTGATCTGTTGCGTCGAAAAAAGTATTTTTCTTGATGCAAAAAGCTACGCGTCATTTTTTCTTCCACGCTAGTCATTGGCGTGCTATATAACATTTTCGACGCACGAGCGTCACCTTGTGCGTATTTTTTCTCTATGCAAGAAATCACACTTCATTTTTTTCGACAAAGCAGGTTACGTTTAATGTCATAGCAAGCCGATAAAATCGCAAGTGCACAACAGACATAACAAAAACAGCAAAAACAGTAAACATGTGCTGTCTCTAGTCGACTCTAGAAAGCTATTTTTGAAAGTTGTGCTGGTTGTGGGCATGGTTGTGATAGTTGCGCAAGTTGTGGGCGGTGGGGGAATTTTTTACTGTTCCAGTTGGGACTTGTCATACTTGATATTTGGGAGTTATGTGATTGTAATATTGCTTGTGGTAGTAATCTGAGTTATGTAGGTCAGTGAGTCTTGTTCTGGGCGTTGTGCTGGTTGCTCACTGCAATCAGTGAGTGAAGTGTGATTGGTAAAGAGGCGTGTAAAAAAAGTAGGTTGTGGCTCTGCTAAAATCATTAATCTAGATTAATCTAGAATTGGGCCAAGAACAGATCCTTGCGTTACTCCTAATTTGATAGCTTGAATATCTGAAAAAACACTGTTCACATCAACTTTTTCCTTCTATGCTAAAGCTAAGATTTGAACCCGGCACAAATTTTCCAGGCCTACGATTCCGTTGGGACAGTTTAGATAAAAGAATGGAATGATTTATGGTATCAAAAATTTTACTAGGGTCTAAGAAGAGCGTTACAGCAAATTCACCATTATCAAGGCTTTTGGCAATTGGTTCGATTAAGCCAACTAAACAGCCAGTGGTATTTTTTCCTGGTCCAAAACCATACTGACTGGGCACAAAAACATCGTGGATAGAAATTAATAAGAAATATTAATTTGTTAAGTACTCATTTTTCAAAAATTTTACTCAATGTATGGAGCACTGAGGTTGGACGATAATTAGTGCAAAGCATGTGAGAGCCCTCTTTAAAGACTGACACAACCTCTGCAATCTTAAGGCTATCAGGAAACCTCCCTTGAATTAATGATAGATTTATTATGTGGGTTAAGGGCTTGACAATTTCTAAAGCTCCTACTCAAATAACAGAAAAGGCTGGACCTTATCTGTACCAAACAATTTTTTCCGTCGAGGTTTCCTACTAACAGAAACACCTCAACTTTACTGATATGAGTGAATTTAAACTTGTTCTTATACTGAGTTAAATATGATTCATAGTGACGGTTGGATTTAAGCAGGGAAGTTGCTTTTTCATAGAAACTATTTTGTTCCGATACAATTTTTACTTGTTATCCCATGTTAAATAATGCTTTAAGAGCCACATTTTTTATAAAACTTATCACGCGTTTTCTTTGACGTTTTTAAGCCAGACGTTATCCAAGATTTGGAAGATCTATTTCTAACATTCTCCTCTTATAGTGCTTGTCGAAAAGCCAACAAGTTTGTTTTGCAGTTTATAACTCGATCATGTCGATCGGCGTTTGTTATTAGTCTTGGTAACCCAACGTCGTTTTCTTCGAAACTCGCGCCTCAGGATTCGGAACAAAGCGCAGGAAAGTTTATTTCTGGGCTTTACAACAAGAAATATGCCCTTGTGCTGGTTGTGACATGGTTGTGATAGTTGAGCAGGTTGTGGGCGGTGCAGGGATTTTTTTACTGGTCCAGGTGGGACTTGTCATGACATGTGGGAGTTTTGTGATTGTAATATTGCTTGTGAAAGTTGTCTGAGTTATATAGGTCAGTGAGTCTGGTTCTGGGCGTTGTGCTGGTTGCGGGAGTTGGGCGGCGTTTTATTTTACTGCTAACCAGGTAAGGCTTTTTTCATCCTCTCTTATATAAAATCCTTTTTAAATGTCTGTTGAAGCATAGGCTATAGAAAACATGGGTTTCGACTACACGAAGATTAAATTTTTTATACGTCAAAAACATGTGACAAATATACCATACGCGCACTTTCCATGAAGAGTTTTATGGCGATATTTCGCGTTACGTCACCTACTGATATTAATGTGCCAACCAAAAGCTCATTGGCTCTTCAAACAATGGGTTCTTTTTGTCTCAGTGGTTGGCATGTTTGAATAACAAACACAATGTTTACAAACAAGAAATATCCCTGTATTTTTTACAGCTTCCAAACATATTTTTGCTGTCAGAGTAGACTACGCATGCACCTTGTCAGTCATTTCAAAATGAAGTCTGCTATCATTATGATCTTACTTGCCATGGTGGCTGTGACCCAGGCCAACAAAGCAGGTATGAATAACATATACGGTTGTCAATCAACCGCGTTTTCACTGCTCAAAAATATATTAATAACAGCACAAAGAAAAAAGTCAGTATATAGTATTAAAGTATCACATTGAGGATTCGGCTTTCGCATATGAAAAATTATGCAGATCTCGGGCGAAATACGTTATACACCTCGGTCGATAACACTCTCCTTGATCTCCATAATTCTTCATGTCATACTCACTCTCATCCAATAATTGTTGAATACAAAAATTAGGTAACAGAGCTAAGTAGGACTACCTATACTAATTCAAATAATTCTTCACAATAAGACGTCTATAATAGGCGCCGTATTGGGACGCAGCGGGCTAATATTTTCTATTCTTAGTTTGTAGCTAGTCTTAACCACTCCTATCCCTAGAAATAGAGAGATAACTGATAGAGGTGCAATTGTAGATCAAGTTAGATATACCAAGGGGGAGGGGGTACTCCAGAGATGATCGAAATGGGGAAAAATCAAAACCAAACAAATTTCCACAGATGTCTAGCGATTTTTTTTCAGAATTTATTCCCTCAAGGCTGGTTTCCACTAGCGACGTAGTCGGAGTCGGAGTCGTAATCAGAAGCGTAGAGCTTATGATCTTGTGAAAACAGCGTTCCGATTCCGTTTACGACTCCGTCGCTTACGTTCCGCTTATGATCTAGCGAAAACCAGATTGTCCGAGTCGTCAGCAGATGCAGAAACACTAAACCAATCACAAAGCGTGGGAACGAGCATTGTGATTGGTTTATCCTTCCGCTTCTTCGTCCGACTCCGACAATCTGGTTTTCACTAGATCATAAGCGGAACGTAAGTCGTAAGCGGAGTCGGAAGAAAATGGAAACGTTCTGACTCCGATTCCGTCGTAATTATGACTCCGCTTACGACTCCGATTTTTGATTTTCACTAGGTCATAAGCACTCTTACGACTCCGCTTACGACTACGACTCCGACTCCGTCGCTAGTAAAAAGCAGCCTTTAGAAAATGACCCATCCCATGCCGAGAAAAGTCAAATGAGCGGCTCTATTGCAGGGATTACGACACGCAATACCTTCCTGGGTGGTCCATCTACCATTTTGTCTGTTTTCGACGGAGAAAGCTCATTTAGTATTAGGCTGTACCACAGGCAGGCCAATAAAAAGCATTCGAGATCCCAACCCACTCTTCCCTACCCACTTGGTATGTCAAGAAGAGAAATGATATCAAAGTTCATTCATCAGACCAGTTCATTTGTTGAAATAATGTTAACAAAACAGTATTTTAATTCGAAGAACTTTTAAAGTAAGTTTGCCTGTCCTAAACAGCAAAGTTTTGTGGTGATGTGCCTGGGACGAAACCCGTTGAATTCTACAAGGAGTGTCCGCCTGAGTTCCCCGTCCGTGACGGTGACAAGTGCTTGTTTGCTACTGATCGTCTGCACATCTGCTGCTGTAAAAGGTAATTAGCACAGAATTTCTAAGATAATAGGTGGGCATTTTCTCTTGAGGTGGGTTCATACTAGACTTTTCAAGTGCACTTAGCGGCCTAGTGGGAACCGACCTAATATGTATGACAGCTTACCGCACTGTAGAATAAATAAAGACAGTTTTCGGTCTCTTTCCAAGGCCCTAACATTTTTAATGCATTTAATGTATTCTTCAAAAATGACTAAAAAATGTTCCTTATCTTAAACTCTAACTCTTACGTTTTTTATCTTCGTTTATGAGGAAACCTAATGTTGTATATGCCCCGTGTTTTATTTAGGTTTCCTGGGCATAATAATTTATTTACTTCAATCTTTTTTCTTGTATTTAATGGATTTGTATAGTGTGGCAAATTTGAAAATAAAGGACAGAACAGATAGACAACTTGTTCTAATGTAGCTAAATTCTGAGCCCACAGGCACCTATGTCCAGAAATTCACACAACAACGAAAATGGCAAATTTGACAAAATTTTGTCAACAATATGAGGAAAAAATGATAACTTGGAGAATGTGGCGAACTGCAAGCATGGCGAAAACTCGCCATCTGTTTTGTGAGTATTCGATGAAATGTCAAGAAGGACCCCTTCAGAAGTGGCAAATTTGAAAACAATGGCGAATCTGGCGAAAATAGTAATAGCGAATTTGGTAAAAATCCGCGAAGAGTTTGGCCAAAAATTCGATGAGATAGCAAGATAGTCCCGTGGTAAGTGGCGAAGTTGACATATATGGCGGCGGAATCTGTTCAGTGTCTTCAGTTAAGTAGCATTGATCTCATCAGTCTCGATAAAGGAAACAAAGTTAATATCACTGAGTGAAACTGTTACTTTAGCACTAGTCCAAACGTCAGCGAACTGTACCTACAATGCACCATGGTTTAGTCTCCCTTACCTCTGGTTCTTGAAAGAAATGTCTTAGAGCTATGAGGTGAAAACAAACTTGTTTCTTTGCTTCTTTTTCAGTCCTATGAGAAAATAATATGCGTCTTGGAAGTGCGACTCAGACTCTAAGTATCTCAGGATGATACGCAGAGGCTTTATAGAAAGGTGTAATATCATTACAAATGACTCATAAGAATAAAACACATTGAAAACGAGACTCTTTATTGAAGAGCCAACAATTTGTTGGTGTATATTAAATACTTTTTTATCTCTTGCACTCAAAACAATTACAGACCTCATATCTGGGTCATTTAGGAAGGCTAACCTGCGACCAGGCTCCCCACTGGGGGGAAAAGAAACAAAACCGTCGAGCGAAGCGAGCCTAGAGGTGTAGTCTAAGGAGGGGAAAAGGTGGCGCCGCCCTTACTCCTCCCCAGTCCACCGCTGGGCTCACTTCGCTCGGTGATATTTTTCCCATTTGAACCCGTTTCTTGCCTCTTTCTCTCACAGCGGAGCCTGGTACCAAGCTAAGGAAAACCAGCTTTTACAACTCTTACGAGTAAATTTGAATTCGTGACGCAGTAAAATTTGTAACGCGTTTACAGCAAACTATGCAGAGATGACCATTTTTCGAGCGATTTAATGTTCTGGCGTTTGCCGTTTTCAACGAGAATCTCAAGAGAGGCATTTTTATTTAATTCGATGAAAACTGACATGAGTGTAAACCGTACTACTTTATCATTGTGGGATCGATAATCGACGTTAAACCGCAAGCAGCCGTTGGCCGTAAACTTGACGTCTAATGCTCTGATATTAGACAGGTCAAGCACCAAGTCTATGGCGAACGAGAAATGGCTGCTTCTTTTTTGCTGTCGGTAAGCATCGCGTCTTGTGCTTTAAGTCGGCGTATATCCCAAAAGAAATGGAATCTCAGCATTCCATGCCATCCAGCGAAAGGGGAAGATCTATAACTCGGTATATTCTACATTCTATAGCCCAGAAGGAGATCGGATACCCCATGAACTGTACACACCGAAGAGACCTTATCCAAAACTTCAAAGTTAAAAAAGCAAAGTAAATAGAGTCCAGAAGCCTTGAACCCAATTAACTACAGTTGTCTCTTCCTTAACCACTATTATAAAGGAGCATTCGGCCGATTCGGTACCAACAGCCGTAGTTTTATAGAATATCTATGGAGTTTCCGAAACAGTAAATAAATGTTTAATCATTCTCAATCAGTACTTTACACTAATCACTATAAGTCAGGGCAAAACATAATTTTTGTATATTTTCCTTTTCTTTCGTACTAAATTGGCCCCCTCCTTCTTAATTTTATAGAATTTGTTATCGAGTTCGAAAACAGTAAATATAAGCCAATCATTCTGGATCGATCGGCGCTTAACCCTCGTCACTATGAATCAGTGCAAAACTCAATCGCAGCTCTATTTTCTTACTTTCCTTGATGTTAATTTCCTACTAAATACGCTTTTCTTCTTCTTAAAAAACGACTACGAATACTACGTTGTCTAAACCTCATGAGGTGTCCTCCTTTTGAGTTATAGAACCTAAACACTGCTCTGTAGCTTGAGTATCCGTCGCTAACTGGTCAGTTGCCTTGTTCTCGTCACCAGTCTTTTGTTAACCAAGTCAGATGCACAGCGACTGTAGCATTGTTGAAGATATGGCAAAAAGAAACCGATACATCCGTCATTAGGAAGCAAAGATAGGAACTCACTCGGTGTGACGATTGTGCACAGTTGCTGAAGCGTTCCTTAAAAGGAAGGAAAAATAGCAAAGCACATTTAAAGCATACCAAAATTCTCCGTCGTATAAGCTAAAAGGGAACCTACGTTGAGCAGAGAATGAATCAATAAGTCAATCTGATCAATGATATTTTCACTAGACTAATAATTGATTCTGTTTATAAATACTAGTAAGGCAAGCAAAATTATGCGTTTAATGCTGTTCACACGAGAACGAGTTTTATCCTTTTACAAACGTTATCCAGTCTAGAGACTAGAGGCCATGTACAGTCGAATCACGATAACTCAGACCCTCAATGGAAATTGAACAAAGTTCGAGTTATCGGAAGCTCGAAGAAAATAGCCGGGAGTAGGAAAAAAACAGTTTTTACTGCACAGTGAACATTTTAATCACAGTTAATTAATTGAAAGATACTTCTAGATCATAAATCAGAAAGCAACGTAACAAACTGTTGCCGAAATAGAGCATGCGTTTTACTGTTTTGAGAAGTAAAGCTGTTTACGTTAGATTTGTGACAAACAAGATCAGCCTCCACTAGGAGGAATGCCTACAACACGTCAATGGGAAATTCAAAATTCAGTGTTTCGGACGCCAGTAGACTGTTTTCTTTTCCCGACTTTTTAAGGGCTCAAAACATGGTTCGAGTCATCGAGGGTAAAATTATATAGAAATGATCTTAGGGGAAACAAAAACTACTTCGAGTTAGCGGAAATTCGAGTTATCGAGGGTTCGAGTTACCGAGGGTAAAATTACAGAAAATGTGTGACGGAAATCCAGGCGAAATCGATTTTGGTTCAAGTTAGCGAGGGTTCGAGTTATCGGGAGTCAACTGTACAAACTGCCATGTTTCCAGTCCTCTCTGTCACGAGTAAATTTGCGCGCAAAGCACAGCGGGTAGGGGGAAAGCAAGTTCCTCTCTTATCTCTCCTAACTTCCGTGGTCCCTTGCCAATGGTCACTAGTCAATCGCTTTTCATGCTCCAGTTCTGTTGACTTTCCTAAGTTCTGAGACGATCGCTTACAAGACCTTTGAATTCATTTTGTGGCAAGCACGAGCAAATTAGCCGTAAACAACAGAGAATTCTCTCTTGCCGTAAATTGCGCATTACCACAAAATTAAATTAGTGAAAGAGCAGTAAATCTATTGTGGAACTAGTACCTCTAAGAACAGCAACAATGGACTCTTTCTTGAATTCAGAATCATCGCTGTTTGGTCCTTCTTTGCATAAGTCAAGTATCGTTTTCAGGAGATGAGACCACTGGAAAATAAACAGTATCCTGAAAATAGCTTCACGAACAACAAATACTTAACACTGCAAGTCAGGTTGAACTTTGAACGAAACGATTCAGGGAGAAAGCCGTGACGTTATCAAAAACATCACCATCACTCTCAGTTTCCCAGTCTTTCCGCGGAAAACAGGAGAAGAGAGAACGCCTATGGACTGAGGACTAGGGTTGGGTCTAGCGGGACTATTTTTGGATCATGAGCACTTGTGCGGAAACGTTACCAATAGAAACAAACTGTACCAACCTTCTCAACATCTTGATCGAAATAAGTGTCTGCATAAGGTAATATTATTTCAGGAAAATCCTCCAAAATGACAGCAACAGCCTGTGCCAGAAAAATAATTAAAGTTAAGATTTATTCTACGTACCCACCGAGTCGCTATGTGCTTAATGTAAAAAGAGAACGTGTGGAGGTGACGTCATAGTAGTCACTTCGCCTGAGAATGCACCTCATAAAACGCATTCTAGGGGTATTAAGAAGCTTAAGCAAAGGCGGTTCTGAACGACACAAGTCAACCGAAAGTGGAATGTTTGCATTTTTGGGCAGTGGCAATGGCCAAATTTGGGAGCAAATAGTCTCAATACTGGAGTAAAGAAGTAAAGACACTTAGCACTACAAGGCATACAGTAATAGCCCGCGTATAAGAACCTGTTAGGCTAAAATTTTCATTTTAAGCCCCCTCCACATAAGAACCTATTTAGGCTAAAATTTTAAGTTAGGTTCTTATCAGTGGGGTTGCTGTAAAAGTGTATAGGTAGAAACTGCTGAATGAAGATCATCATCTAGGACATATGCTGTACCTGCACTGAACTGCCTATAGGCATTGCTCTATGGTACAAATAAATGATTTATACTGTATTATCAGATGATATTTATAATATATATAGTATATTCAGATGAAATTCATATGAAAATATAAGAACCTATTTTAAGAACCTCGGTAGCCTAAATTTGCTTTAAGTACCATTTATATAAGAACCTATTTAGGCTAAATTGAAAAATTCAGGTTCTTATACGCGGGCTATTACTGTATTAGAAGGGAAAAAATTTCACTTCCGGTTGACGTGTTTAGATCTAAAACGCCTTTGCGTAAACTTACTATTTCATGATAAGCCTTTATCCCCATGGTCAGTTTTCGAGGCCGTACTGGAGTCCTCCCTATTTGCGTCAGTAGACGCAATCAAGTGGTGTGGCTTTCAAACCCTTTCAGGGATACTTTCACATAGTATTACTAATTTTTCTCAGTACTTAAAAATAAGATTGGGCGATTTTCTCTAACTTTGATCTCCGATAATCTTGGCAGTTACAAGTAAAGAAGTCCTTCTCACCTCAGTATATCTGTTCACATGAGAAAGACAAAGAAGAAATACAGACGTCATATCTTTCATCTTCTGATCCTCAATTCTTCTTAAAACAAAATCACATAAGTCGCTGCTGACAAACTTGGAACAAAGAAGAGCCTGAGGACAAAAATAATGCTTCATCGTGTTAGATAATCCTCGTTGGGTTAATCTTATTAGAGAGCTTTAGTTTCGAGGAGGAGGACGACAACGAAGGACGACATTTAATTTTAAGTTTTCTCGCCTATTCTCTAAAAATAGATACCCCGGAAAGCTTCACTGTACCTTTTTTAACCCCAAAAGTTAGCACGCTTATTTCCGATGAAGGAGATAAAGCCCTCTACCGATCGCTAAATTACAAAATTTCTAACATTTGACAACTTGTTTTCGCTACTACGACATTCTCGCTAAAAATCGTGGTAGGATGACAACGGCTACCATATTTTCCCGCCAAAATGATGTTGGTTCGTGCGCGCAATACTTAGTATTGGGAAAAGTCGTCCTCGTCTTAAAATCAAAAGCCCTCTATTATACCCAAGTCACACGACGAATAACAAAACAAGTGTTATATAGATAATTTTATGATCCCCAAATAACTTAATTAGGCACGAGAAACACCTTAGTTTGACTCCAGAGACTCCAGAGAAGGGGGTTGAAACTGTCGTTTCTTCGTTCCTTCCGAAGCCATGAACCGACCAAAAAGCTTCAGTATGAAAAGCTCAAATTCAATGACAAATTCATGCCTCTGCCTCTTCACGCTCTGCTCACGTGCACCAGCGGGCAAAGGTCACTGGTAACACAGTACCCACTGACCTCCACTGTTCCCCTCTTCTAAAACTTTTGGCGGGAAATTTCTTGTCAGGTGCCATGTGACCAAGAAGTAGCCAATGCATGTCGCTCATGTGGTGGGCGTAGCATGCGTGGCTGGCGAGATTGTCTTCGTGCGTGACTGCGTAAGACAGGTGCTCGATTCTCGCGGCTTTGCTCGCACGGCTTCGTAGTTCCGCTCTAGATAAGAATCTCGCCGACCACGCAGGCTATGGTGGGCGCAAAACTATCGAATAACTTCATGACCGAAATAGAAAATTTCTACTTCTCTCTCTCTTTCTCACTACACAAGATCCTATCGTCGCCCGCGGCAGCGATTTTTGGTACTTTTCATACTTATTGCAGAAGTATTTGCCAAGAAAAGACAAACTTCTAAATCACACACAGAGTCAAAAATGGTTATCACTTTTGGTGACATAAACATAGCAAGAAACCTGTCTAGCATTTTCTATGGTTTCTTCCCCTTTTTGTTTCTGTCGTCAAGTTGTTCAACATCTCAAACATAGAACGAGTCTAGTTACCTGTAGCTTGAGAAGATCCTCATTACAGCAACAACAACAACATTCATGTACGCGCATTGACGTGTCTCCAGTGTACATGACTCCCGCTCCTCGCCGCGAGGGACCGGAAAACAATGAAGACCGAGACAACTGAGGAGAGCACTGGGGAGAACTTGTCTTGGAACACGGGCAGCCTGGGACTGAATGAGTCAACGAACCTGAAATTTCAGCGAAAATAATAAAAATTTTCAGGATTTTCTTCAGATTTCAATTAAAGAAGAGTAGTCTTAGCCTATCTCATGGACAGACAGAGAAAAAACCGCAAAATAAAATAGTCTGAGAAAACAGCCGACATTTTGCAGACCA